GCCTTCTACCTCTTTCCGGGAATATCCTAGAGGCCCTAATCAATTCTGAATTGGTTCATCATCTCTCATCAAAGGGCCTTTCTCAGACAAGCAATATGGCTTTTACTTCTCCAGGTCAACTACTGATGTACTGACGATATTTGTGAAGGAGTTTATTATAAGCCTGGGCTGTTGCATTGGACATCTCAAAAACCTTTGACAGTGTCTAGCATTCAGGTCTTCTCCACAAGCTGAAAAGTTACAGTGTCTCCTGATGCTTTTTTTTTTTTTTTTTTTTTTTTTTTTTTTCTTTTCCAGTCCTAACTATCAACTTGTGAAATGAGAGTTATCCTAAACAGTCACTCGTCTAGATTCTTTCCTACTAACACAGGTGTCCCCCAGGGCTCCATTCTTGGTCCTACTCCATTTTTTAATTTTCATTAATGACCTTCCTGATGACATCATTTCTCAACTTGGTATCTGCACTGATGATAGAACAATTTACTTCTTCCTCAATAGTAAGGCTTATCAATCTGACAAGGTCAAAATGGCAGCTGATGTCCAAAACAACCTAAGGTCTGTAGTTAACTGGAACAAAGAATGGCTTCTTAATTTTAATGCCTCCAAAAATAAACTTCTCTCCATTAATCATCTGAGAGACCTCTTACTGTCTTTTATCATCATGGCTGATGCTATCCTCCAGGAAAGTAATTCGCTGCACCTTCTTGGTATGAAGTGGAAAGACTATATCGAATCCATTGTTAGGTCAGCCACTAAGAAAATCAGCTCAGTATGTAGGTTGAGACATTTTTCTCTCCAAAATTTATCTTACATATCTATAAGTCTACCATTCATACATGCTTAGAATATTGCTACCACATATGGTTCAGTGCCCTTGTTATTTACTTTGAGCTCCTTGATAAAATCAAAAGATGAATCTGCAATATCATTGGTCCTAATCTGGCAGCTCTACTTCAGTCACTTTGTCAAAACTGTAAGGTTACCTTTGTATGACTTTTTTTAATGAATATTTTCATGGTAATTGTTTGAATGAGCTCTTCATTATGGTACCGAGAGTTGTTAAATTTAAGCATTGCACTAGACTCCTCTTACACTTCTAGCTTGTAGAACTCTCTTCTGGCTCCATGCTTTCCAGCCAACTTTAATATGCAAAAATTTAAATGCAATGTCAATTGCTATCTACTGTTAACCTGATTCCTATCTTCTCTTTCTGCTCATCATTAATGTTCCAGTTCCTAATTCTTCCACATCCTGTAATCACTTTTGTTTTAGTTGGGATAATTTTAATTTTAAAACACCATGGATACAACATAACTGCAGGGTTTAGGCTGATGTTCTTTCAAGCCAGTGATAAGGACCTTGGTTTTGTAATTAACCTACAAAGAGTCTGCATGCTAAATATTGGGCCAACTATATTAAATGATTATACAACATTTTTTTTTTTTTTTTTTTAAGTATTTTGGATTGTTTAGCATCATCCCAGTTATGTCAACAAAGATGGAAAAATCGTTAAGCATGATGGTACACCTTGCTGCATATCACATGTATCAAAAAGGTTTCTTGCGAATAAAGATATTCAACTTTTGGAAGACTGGTTAACACAATGTCCTAATCTAAATGCATTTGGACCATTGTTGCGGACACTGAAGAAACAAGTGCTCCAGCAAAGAACATGCAATGTGCAAAAGCTTTGAGATTCCTTTCAAGAATGGGAAAAAATTCCCAATGAGAAAATCTTGACCTTGTTCCATTGAATAGCACATTGAATTGAGGCAATTATATGATGCAAAGACAGCAACATTAATTACTAGCTCCACACTTTGACATTTTTGCACTTTTTGTAATAATAAAGATCACCTTATGCAAAAAAAAAAAAGAAGAAATTTTCACTTTTAAAGTGCTGAAAGGTGAAATTTTTGTTTGTGGCTTAGTATTTTGCATGATCTTTTTCAGCATCACAATATTCAAAATGGCTTAATATCTATCATAGAACATTAAAAAAATGGAAAAACTTGTTTTCTTACCATTAAAGATCATAAAATGCACTGAGAAAAACATATTGCTAATCACTCTTGGGGATAAAATTTTTTAAAAAAGTGAAAAATTTACCAGGGTGATCCAAAAGTTTTGCACACCAGCTTATTTGATAGATTTCTCTTATGACAAATGATATATAATACAAAAATACAAAGTAACTTTGTCATGAACACAAATTTCAGCAATGTGATATTCCGCTATAACTCAGTGTCATTAAGCAAACACTTCTCATCTTAGTAAAACATATTCAGCCCTTTATAGCTAGAATACTGAGAAAACGTGAGTGATTCAACTCCATGGCTGAATCACCCTTACTTTTTCTGTATTCCACTTGTAAGGAGGAAGTTCCACTCAGGCAGAATTTTTTGTGTAACAAATTTCAATGTGGATGTTTTCTTGAACACTACAATTTTAGCTTCTTTAAGTCAATTGTTTTCACATAGCTGTCACATGGTTTTTTTATTAACCCTCTGCCATGAGAGTTGCTTGTACATTGTACTGAGTGAATATCATTAAAAATAAAACATCCACAGTATTTTTAAATAGTGACAGCAAGTTGCATAGCTTTTATATTTCTTTTTTTCTGTCACAGCTTTGGAAAAATAATTTATATTTTTAATGATTAGCTGAGCAGTATCAGTTAATTATATTGATAAAAATCCAATATTAATCAGGTAAAAAAATGTAATCATTTTTAAAAGTACTAGTTGAGGATTATAATAATAAACTCTCAATACATAGCACTGAAAGAAGTAATTAGTAGTAATGATGAGTGGAATACCTTCAGAGAAGTATTAGTAATATTAGCAGAAATTTTTCTGAAGTAAGAAAAGAAACAAAGAATTGGATGATGGTTGAAAGTTTTGAACTAATAAATGGTAATGCCAAGAAATGAGATAGAATATATGAGCTTAAAAAACATAGGAAAGAAAAAGGAAAAGGCTTCAGGATAAGTGTAGAACAAAAGAAAAACTGCTGAACACAGATGTAACAGGCATGAACAAAAAGATAAATAGCAGCAGAAAAATGTACTCTTTGATGGGAGAAACAAATTCTAAAGTATTAACTATCATATGTTCTTTTTTATGACCATGAAGCTTATAAGCATGGCAAGATTTAGGTTAGTCTAAAAATTAATCATATTTTAAGTGAGGCTCAAAATTTTTTACTGAAACTACAGGGTGCCTAGTTAAAAAAAGCAGCAAATTTATTCTTCGAGAAGATACACCAGCTCTGATTGGTCCATCTCAATGGCACTTTAAAAGCCCCGATCTGTTTGTTATGGATTACTGTATCTGGAGTATACTCTTAACTAACTTGCAAAACTGTCATTATGATATTGTCGATATTGATTCATTGAAGTAGAACTTAACTGAAGCTTGGAATTAAATTCCTCTTGACACACTATCCGCAAAGCTACTGCCTACTGGTTACAACACTTAGAACATAGTGTTGAACATTCAAGCAAATATTTTGAACATCTACAATTATTGCTCAGTTTGTGCATGAATCATGAGAGGTAAATAAATTTCTTTGTTAATTTACCACTTTTTTTACTGGGCATCCTGTATATTAAGCTTCAACAACCGAATATTTCAAAATCTAATTTCTCTAACCTGATGCTTAAAAAAAATATTGTTGGGAGTGCGATTCTCTGGTGCCATACAATTGAGGTTTTGTGTCAGACTGGTTTTAAATTACTAAATCCTCTTCTTCTCCCCCCAGCTATGGGTAAATAGCAGGACAGACCTGGTTTAGTAGCCTTGGATGGCAACTGGTCTAATGCAGGAAGAAATGGCAATCTACTGCAGGAAAAAATCTGTCAATCATGTAGCGAAAGATACATGATCGTCTAAGCCTGGTCCATGCATGGCACATAGCTAACTGAAATACTTGCTGACATTATTGCCTTCTTTGATCACAAAAAATCAGAGTTGCTTCTATATTTCATGCAAGAAATTTTGTTGATAGCTAAGATTAAATCAATCTATTTGAATGTGTCTGAATATAGATCTATATAACTGTAGAAATTTGTCTGTAGCTATGTGCATATACTGATGCATACACTGACTTCATTAAACATTTAGCATACTCTCTTCATGATATCTGTCAGTAAAACGACATCACCATGACTTGCAGTGTTTTTTCCTTTATGATGCAATTGTCCAGGAGTGTCGAAATTAGATTGCAGTTTAAAACTGTTTCTTTTATTATTTTTTTTTAATCCTTTCCTACTTTGCTCAATTTCTGAAATGGATCATTCCATAATCCTATAAACTTTCAACTTTCTGTCATGCTTTCCATTCCAGTTATTAAACTGATCTTACTGTATTTCTGCACTTACTTGAATATGACCACATGTCCCCGGCCAAAAAAAATAAACAAAATTTGGATAGCCTTTTTTACTTTTAGCCATTTCTTCTGTCTTCTTCTAATTAATCCATTACTCTCTCAGTACATTCAAATAGAGCAATGATTTACCAACCATTCACTTAAAACATACCAATGTTGAGATCATAGTCTCATTGTAAACTTTCTTACTAGGTTTAAATTTTACTCATAAAATAAGACTCAAACATAAAAATTTGCTAAACATATCCCAGTTCAGTTAAAATTCCCTGATGATAATAAAAAAAACAAAACCTAAAACACTATAATGGAAAAAGAAAAGGTGAAACAGAGATGGAATGAATACATCCTAGAGTTGGGTTACTAAAAAAGACTAATATGTAGTATAAAAGCAGGGCAGGACCCATAATTTTAAAATCTGGGTTTATATCAGATATAAAGGCCAAAATGAAGAGAAATAAAGCATCAAAATAATCTGAGCTTGTGATAGAGATGCTGACAGCCTTAGATAATTTTGTGTTTAATTACTGAAGTGATGAATAAAATAAATGACAGTGGTGAAATACTAGAGGACCTCAGTAGATCAGTCTTCAAAACAAAAAAAAAAGGCTTACAGTCACATCACACTGAAATTCCAATTCCTGTATGATCACTGTAGTTAAGCAACTTTGAGCCTGGTCAGTACAGAGATGGGTGACCACTTGGGAATACCAGATGCTGTAAGCCTGGATGTGTGGGCGGTGTAATGGATAATAGCTTGGAATTGATTGTCAGAGAGCTGAGTTTCAGTTGCTGCTGGGTTCATTATTTTCACTGAATCTACCACTTATCCCACAGTTATAGGCCAATTAGTAAGTCTTGTCACACTAAACTATTAGTATCTCCAAAAAAGTAATTCTTATAATCTAAAAATATTTTCTGGCTTTAAATAACCTGCAACTGGTTGCTAAGCCATAGAAAATAATCAATCAAAACATTAACAAAGAAGCTAGATCCAAGTTAATATTTTCAAACAGTCAGCTTGATGATCCATATAGCTAAACTAATAATTAAGATTCTCATGAATAGAGGTCACAGCAGAATTAGAGTTGGAAATAAAGTAAGAACAGTGTAATATTGAGATACTGGAAGAAGAAATGCAATTTTTATTATGAGTGTTGCCAGTGGAAGCAATAATAATGCAAAATAATTTATATCTATGTTTTATGAATGAGATGCACCTATTAAAATATCATGAAAGGTTGATGTGCATATTGAAAAATAATCTTTAACCTGCACTGAGAACAAACAGCTTGTGTGTGGCACAATTGGGATGTGCTTGAAAACCCATAGAATGGTTTGACCAGTCTTGTGAGTGAAGTAGGATAGACAAAACTTCCTGGAAGTCATCAGGGGTTGTGCTAATAGGCAGATAGCTTTTTCATCTTGATGTATTGGCCCATAAAAAGGTACAATTACTGAATTCCTTATATCATATAACTGGTACAATTTGCTGTAGGTGGAAATACTACTTTTTTTTTTAATTATCAGACATTTATATTTAATTGAATCCCTTAGATTTTATTTCTTTAAATATTTGATGCAAAACTTTCAAATTATTCTTTGGAGAGAATGGTGCCTTCATCTACGTTTCAGTCTTTGAAAATTAATTTCAAATTTTATGTAAAATTCATCTTTTCCTTCCATTGCAGATATTTTTATCGTCTCATTTATGATTCACAGTTCAACTGCATTAATCATTGCTAGCTGTCTATCTTGAATTCCAACAGAAATTTATCACTGAGCTTAAAGAAATAGTTTTCCCCAAAGAAGTGACTGTTCTGTATGTTGGAGCCACTAGACCAGTGATATTCAATTATCTTTCTCAACTGGCTTACAGTTGCTATTAATCATGATCAGGCTGATCAAGTTTTCTTGCTTTTTACATAAGTGAAATTTGGTTAGAATTCATGACACTGGTGATTGAATTAGTCCAACTGATTCTGGATTTATGTGTTTATGAATGAAGATGATATAAATTCTTACTGAAGTGGCTTTCTTGCAAGTCCTTAGCAATCTCAATAAAAGCAACTTTTTGTTTGTTGTCCTCATTTTAACCATTGTACCCTTTCAGCCTGTTTCAGGTATCTGTTGATCCATGTAACATACAAGGAATTTTGAATTGAACCCTTTATATAATCAATGAAGGTAGATAGTTCTTATTCTGCTGTCCATGTTGAAGGATATCTTGTTCTTATTAGTACAGCTCAGTTATTTGAATCATTATTGTGTAGATCAAGGATTTAATTCACAATTCCTGTGCCACCATATTTATAAACCAATGTTTTAATCCTTTTGGCTGTTTCATGGAACAATTCTCAATCTAGAACTGTGAACTTTAAATATAATATTTTACTTCCTTTTCTGTTGCAGCTGCCTTGCTTTTTCTCCTCCATTTGTCTTATTCCTAGTGTAATAGAGTTATAACTTTGAGTAAATAATTAGAAACCCTCTAACATTTACATATACACAAAAATACTCATACAAATAAAAAACAGCAAGACATGGAAACATCAAAAAAAAGTATTATTTACTATCGGGTTCTTATGCAGTGTTGGAGATACGGGAGACACTAATACTGAATAAAATTATGAGTTTGGGGTCAAATGTAGATCAAATATGAATCAGAATTTGACAATGTTAAGATAAAGAATAAGGAAAGTTTATACAGTCTTTCTTTATATATATATATATATATATATATATATATATATATATTTTATAGATGTGTGTAATGAGTGTCCAGATAATTTAGTTTGAAAATACGAGATGTGTTGGGGGGGGGGTTCTTAACTTTAATATTTGTTGAGAGATAAATGTTACTATTATGGCCTGAAAAATGAAAAGGAGACAAAATTTTTGTTGACCCACATTTTGACAACCTGTCCATGTCAATTGCTTGTTTGATAAAAAATAATGTCACATGTTTGTGCAGAAGAGAAAAGTGGCATTAATTCTCATTGGTTTATAATCAGTGAATTAATGATAATTATAACTGTTATAATTATTTTATTCTAATTACTTTTTGGCATTATAATTAATGTTTGTTTATTTACTTCTATGGAAAGCAGAAGGAGAACAAGGTTTCAGCTTAAAATTAGAAGGCAGTTACCTGAATAAGGCTAGAGAGCACATTCGTCAAAATGTGATAAAATCCATAAAATTACAGACAATAATGCTACTATAAATAATGCAAATAATAACTACTCATCCTAGAAATTCAGATAGGAAAAAAAAATGATATGAAAATGTGCAGAATCACTAGTCATGAAGGACAAGTTCCAATGCCAGCAAATGTCTTAATACCTTTTAATTCAATAGACAAGTATTGTTTTTGATATATTTTTTTTGTTTTGGTATAATTTCTTCATTTATTTGTTTTCAGATCTTAAGCTTGATTCTCAGAATTATTTCCGTTCTGTATGAAATTACTTGCTTAAAATTTTTATTGCTCTTCGCTGCGACTAAGAATTTCCTTGGTTTCAGTTTTATTTATTTTGTCCATGCATAGGAGAATTTACAAATGTAATTATGGTCTTACTTATATCTCAGCATTACTGTTCTCTTCATCAAAACTTTGACTTGTAGATCATCAGATCATGGGAACATAATTCATATTGAGTTAAGATAAAACTCTTTCATTTTTTTATCAGAAATTTTCTTTCAAAGTTCCAATGCAGTCTTTAAACATTGCTTCAATTGAAGGAAACTTAAAATGATTCATATATATATATATGTATGTATATGAAGAGGTGTATTTCAACATATTTTGTCAAATAATATGGACAATTTTTTATTAAATCTTTCAAATTTCCTCACAAGTTATTTTTGTACATTCTAGTTTTCTTAGGGAATTGTAAACACACACACACACACACACATATATATATATATATATATTACTTGGAACATTAATGAAAGAAAAATAAAAAAAATACTCATGCATTGCTTTCATGTGGAAAAAGTCTCTCTCTCCCTATATATATATATATATATGTGTGTGTGTTTTATCTTCTGTAAAATTTGAAATAGACTGCACTGATTATTACATGGTAGATCATGAATATTTATGAAAATGTATATAAATTCAAATCAAATTAAACAAACTTTGTAATCTTAAATTATAATGGACAAATCGTTAATAACATATTACTTGAAACAAAATAAAACATATTAAATATTATTAATGAAAACTGATATTTCAACTAAAAAGAAATCAGTTTCAAGTAGAATTTAATCAGCTTATAATTTACAAAAAACTGAAAATTTACACATCATTTAAAACTTCTATTATTATGTTGCATGGTCCAATAATTTTCATGTCTATAATAATAATTCTCATGTCTATAATAATTACGTAAATGTTAATACTGTTCAGTTAATACACTTAGAAATTAAAATTATTTTTATGCACAATGCCATGTATCTACAACTATGTCCACAGACAATATCTATCTCTATATATAAATGAAATGGATCAAAAGAAGGCTGAAGAAAAAAGAGAATCATTTGCTTTCTTTCAAGATACTCACTATTGCATATCCAAATAAATGAACTTGTTGAATTTCTGTACAGTAAACACATATCTTTCAAGCATGCAATGAACCAGGCAAATGAATAAATTATTCATATATTCATTTCATGTTGAAATATATATAAAATGTGTATATACATGCAATTTATATATATATTATTTATATATTATATATGCATGGTACTTATTGGAAAGTGCTCAATATCAGTGATACATCAATCCAACTAAATATATATATATATATATATATATATATATATATATATATATATATATATATATATTTATTCCAGCTGCACTCAACCTGTGAAGGCTCAGAGTAAAGGCTCCTATTCAAAACAACACATAAACAAAACACAACTTCGTCAAAACATGAAGAAAAACTAACCCCACCAAAAACAAAACCCTCTTGAAAACAAGTGGCTGAAAGCACTTGGGACAATGAAAATTATGGAAAATTCCTGTACTCCTTATCCTTACAAAACAGAAAAATGTAAGGATACTAGAAAAACTAAAGAAAATGTCTGTCGTATTTAATGAAAGATGTTTAAAAAAAAGGTTGCTGCTCAAATATACATTTATTTATATATCTATCTATATATTGTTGTGTGTTTCTTGTGTGTATAACAATATCTGAAACTAAAGTGGAGATGAGAAAATAGAAAATCTTCAAGCATGTATGTTCAGCCAGTATCTGTTGGTTTTGGCTTCTTCAGGTCAGAATAATATTCAAACTAAGAAGTAACCAAATTAAAGTAGAATTTAATCAGCTGATAATATAAATAAAAAGATAACTTTGAGGCATAATTCAAACTTATACCAAATTATCATGTTGCAAATTTCATCTTTCTGACATTTGTAATAATTAAGTTATTTAAATTTTAATAGCTTTCAACTAACATATGTGCAAATGAAAATTCATTCATTCAAACACTTTCAAGAAGTTCACTTCTATCTGCCATATCCTTCAGGGTCATGGCACTCTCCAATTTCCTGCCTTTTGTAGCTCTTAGTAAATTTTATCTTTTTGTTGTCACTCCTAAACTTTGCTCTGCCATCCATTTGGACAAGCTCATTCAGTAGGTTATACACTGTTATCCTGTCTCTCTTACCATCAATATGCGTTGTGAGTGTTAAATTTTTCAGTCCCTC